TTTGGAGTTGATTTGGTGTTGTTATCTTATGTTTATGCAACAGAGAAGATCCTCCTCAAGTGTTCTTGCATGTAATAGAGGAGTACAATCCCAAATCTTCCTCTGCCTCTTCCACTGGATAGCTTCACCTTTCCTACCATGCTTTGCTTCCCACTAAAGGTAATAAATTATTCGTTTTTATGCCAAATATATAGATGGAATATCAAAAATAGGTTAAATTAATAAAAATATCTCTAACTTTTATAAAACCCCTCAAAAGTTTTAAAACTTTCAACGGTAACTTAAACCTTCAAATTTTTTTTTTTGGAAATCGGTTATAATTTGTTTCAAAAATATATTTTTAACATTTTTTTTAAAATTTCATTAATATTCTTAAAGTTTTTTTTTTACTACATTTCAAGATACCCATTAGCTTTTAAAAAATAGTATTAATATCTTTAAACTTTTAGAAAAAAATAATTTTTTTTAGAATTAGCCTCACAAATAATTTATTTCAATTTAGAAAGGTTTATAAATGAAAACTTTCTCATTTTATTCAAAAAGAAAAGTTCCAGAGATCAAAAAAATGAAATAAGAGAGTTACGAGGGTATTAGTCATAGGTTGAAATAGAGAGTTAGGAATGTCTGAGCCTCGACCAATTAATCTAGTAGTGATTCCACACAAGTTCGTAATCAAATTCATGTTAGACAAACATGACTCTATAATAGTATGATATTGTCCACTTTGAGCGGAAGTTCTTATCGCTTTGCTTTGGACTCCCCCAAAAGGCCGCATACTAATGGAGAGAGTATTCCTTGATTATAATATGATCATTCCCTAAATTAGCCGATGTGAGACTTTTATCATCCAACACCTCCCCTCGAACAAAGTATGTCCCCCCTTAATCGAGGCTCGACTCCTTTTTTTTTTTGGAGTCTTAGTCATTTTGGAATATGCCTTCGAGGAGAGGCTCGACTCCTTTTCTTCTGGAGTCTTAGTCTTAGTCTTTTGGAGGCTTGACTATGACTATGCCTTCAAGTAGTCAGTTTCATCAATAAGATAGGAAGACTTACTTCCCATTTGGAATTGCACAAAAAAGACTATTTATCTCAAAGAGGTCTACAAAACTTAGAGGAGATTCGGGTTGGAATTGGAGTTTCAATGGATCGTCCAAGAATGATGATTATGTAGTTTTTTTTGCCTACTTTGAACTTGAACATTTCTTCGTGTGTTTGGAAATAAGTTACAAGAAATAAGGTGAAGAAGATGAACGGGAGGAAGCTACGTGCGCATATAGGGGAGATGTATTTGTCTGGAAATGGTTGAGACACGTGTCGAGCGGCACAATGACTAATGATTGACACGTGTCAAGCATGGAGTTCAGAAGCGTGTACGGTTTTTGGTGGCAACAAGTGTCGCGAATCGACCCGACCCTATCAATAACCGACCCAAGATTCGTGCATGAATTGACAACCCAACATCTGAATTGAAAAATAGACTGACTTGAACTGCACAAACCAACACACGTGTGAGTTCCTTTTTTACTCATTCAATTTGTTCGACTGTTTTTCGACTCATAGTGATCATTTATCATAGAATGACTCTGGTTATCAAATGATTGAACAACCGAGAGAAATTTACTTACGATACGTAGTTGACATTCATAAAAAGTATCTAATGAACTATGAGTTCAATACATCCTATTTAGCAGAAAGACTGACATTCGTTGCTCATTATCAGACGATCACTTATTCACAAATCTCATGTGAGGCTAAGAGTTTGAATTTCCCATCTCATGGAAAACCCTTTTCACTTCGCTTAGCACTATCCCCCTGTAGGAGTATTTTAATGAAAGGTTCTATAGGAATTGGAGGATCCTATTTGACCGATATTGATACTGACCTTAATTTTACTTAAACCAAGATCTATCAATAAATTTTCAAGAAATTTGAAGCCTCTAACAAGTGAAAAAACAAGCTCGAAAAGGCACGCTTCATCCTGATAATTAACCACATCGACTTTAGACAAGTAATACTTGTAGGGATCACTAGAACGATCTAGCATGCGAGCATTCCTTATCTTAGGAAGTTAGAAAAATGCATGTTTAAGACTTCTGAAGGGCAATTTCGGATGAGAATGCATTGTATGTATGTCATGAAAAATTATCGTTATGCCCCTAGAAGGAGAATTTCAATATGCATGTTGTTTTTATGTTTACATTGAGCTAGAAATAAAATATGCATGATTAGAAAATGAGTGGGTAATATGGACGAGTAAGCTATGCAAGATGCTAGTACCAAAAGACTTACGATGAGATTTCTGATAAATGTTGTTCTATATACTTTCTGCTGTGTTAGAAGGGAGGATGGACTAATGTGATCGGTGTTTCGAGCGATTGATGGATGTTATCTCCCTATTGAGCTTATTTGATTGCATGAATGTTTTAAACAAGTGATTTATAGAAATATTTCCCTAATAAGCATGCTTGAATGAATGGATCATGTTTCTCGTGCTTTAGATGATTGATATAAATTTCTCCCTAACCAAGCATGCATGAGTGATCCAAGTTAAGAATAAGGTGATAGAGCTAGAACTATTTTCACGTTAATCGAGGTCAGTATGTTTTCAGTAGACCGAGCACCCTAGGATCATGAGCGGTGAACAGAGGTCTAGACCTAAATGCACCTAGAGGACTAGTTTAGCTTCAAAGGGCTAACCCCAAATAACTTAAAAATGCGAGATGAAATCTAAGCCGCCTACAAGTCCTAACAACCCAGTAAATCTCCACGCCACCCAAGGAAAATTGTCAGAACTTATGAGATCATTAGCAGTGTGAACCAATGAATTTGAGTAGCCAGTAATTTATGTAGAATTACATAAATAGTTAACTTGAAAAGTCACTACTATGTGCAGATTAATCCCACCTTCAGAGGGGACGAGAGATTATATAAGTAGATGACTTAAGAAACTGCCAGTGTGTAGAATGAAACCCACCTTTAGTGGGGATGACAGACTACATAAGTAGACAACACAAGGAACTACTACTGTGTAGAATAAAACCCATCTTGAGAGGGGACGAGAGACTACAGAAGCAGATAACACAAGGAACTAATACTGTGTAGAATATAACTACCTTGAGAGGACGAGAGACTACATAAGTAGATAACACGAGGAATCAGGAGAATTCTTGAACTGGGTCCGAACTTCTTGGAGCCCAATGAAAAATTTGTGGTTACTTACTAGGTTAAGGATGCAATGAGAGCTTATAAGTTCGTTGCTTATTGAATGTTTTTATACTCACATCTTTCCCCATTTTTTTTCAGGTGATCATAAGTTACTGGTTGATGTGGAGGACTGCTTGGGAGCTGTAATATCACATAGAGGTGTCGACTCGGGGCGTCAATTTAATTTGTATTTTACGGGTTGTCATTTGTAACATTTTGTATCCCGCTCACATTCACGGTTTGTAAATAACTTAAAAAACACTTGTTTTGAATTATTTTTGTATTGGATTTTAGATTTTGACTATGGTGTTGTATCTTATTAATTCGCTCGAAATTTTATTGTGTTTTTGCTTTCATTTATTTACTGTTGTATTGTATTTTAGTCATGGTCTGAAATTTGAAATCTCGAAAATCAAGTCGTGATAATGAGAGAGAAGAAATCGAATAGAGAGATAATTTATAGGATGTATATACGTTGTTTTTATTTACATATAAATGATAAAAAGAATTATAAAGTTTTAAGGGTGTTCGAGTATTGTAATGAGAAGGATCATTGTCACAATGATCTACAAATCTCGTGAGTAAAGGAGATGCACGATCCATACGATCTTAATCTATGACAGGTTATGAGTGAGTGACCCCATGTTTTGAAAATAAATTAGTTCCTTGTTGTTTCTGTGTATGTATGTATATCTAACTCCGTTAGGAAAGTATATTATCCGCTTTGGCTCGTTACTCACCGTCATCAGCCTCACGATTTTAAAATCTGTCTAGTAAGAGGAGATTTTCACATTCTTTTCTTTTTCCAACTCGTGAACTTTCACAAGAAGTATTTGACCGATTATTTTTAATAATCGATCCTTTTTTAAAATGGTTTTCAAGCCGAGACAAGACATAGTACAAGATTAGCTGGGATTACTCCAATATTTTTGTGTTTTTTATTGCTTTAGCATTAATGTTTTTTTTTGTTGTTTGTTTTTTTGGTATTATGCAACTCTTTATGGTAACCAACAACAAAACAATTATACTTTTCTAATAAAATTTCATATTTTTATTAAAAATTTGACGGTGATTGGACCAAGCAAAAATTCCCTAGAAGAGGGTTTAAAGAGGGTCGAAGTTTAAGGAAAAGAGAGCATAAAAAATCAGTCATGAACTCGAAAGGGGATAGATTGAATACTGAAACCGTTTTAAAGAAATAGCTGAAGTAAAAATTTGACTTTTAGCAACAATAGGAGTCTTTCTTAGTGCAATACCTAAAACAACCCATAAAGTGTGTGAGCGCCTAACTATTAAAGTTTCGAGATTAAAAGGTCCCAAATACTAAGATTCATCTAGTATGCAACTCGGTGTTCCACCCGAACGACCCTAACGTACGAAAAAGAAAGCAAAAAGGCAAACAAGTAGTGTCACCTCTAACTATAAAACTTCATGCAAGAAAGCCCTCCGTTACACTAGCCTTGAGCTAATGGCGGACTCGTTCCATCACTCTCAAAAGTCAGAGGCATTTAAAGTGTAAAATATTTATTGGGACAGAAGTGCTCGATAGCTGAAGTTTTCTTCTTGTTGTTGCATCAAAACATAGAAATGTTGACTAATGCTTATGAAATAATATTTTCTATTAATTTAATGGTTTAATGGTTTGATAAAACACGTGTCAGTCAAGGAAGGAAGGAAGAGTACGTGTCTTAGCCAATGAGAATCGAGCAACTGACATCATTTTAATTTCATATTTTTTATTTATTTATTGTTAAATGTAATTTAATGTGTAATGTGATAATAATAATAATTCTTTGATTTCGCGATTTACATTTTCGTTAGCCGCCATTGATAATCGTCTCCTGTTTCTTCTACCAAGCACACAATCCCGAATCTCTCTCTCTCCGCTTACTTCCCATTGAAAACTTTCTTCACTTCTCAAAAATGGTGCGATTTTTCGCCGCTTTTCACCTTATTTTCCTCATCGGATTTCTGTCGTCTGGATCTGAATCTCTTCGATTCGACTTGCAGTCCGGCCACACCAAGTGTATCTCTGAGGACATTAAGCACAACGCCATGTCCGTCGGTAAGTATCACGTTGTTAATCCCAATGAAGGCCAGCCTTTGACTGATGATCGCAAGCTCATTGTTCGGGTATTTTCTTTTTTTTTTTTTTTTTTTTTTGGGAGGATCTCTTGATTTTTTTTTTTTTTTTTTCGTTTTTTCGGAGTTTTTGGTCGATTTGTGATGCTTGATTTAGGGTTTTGGAATCTGTAGGTGACTTCGGCTACTGGAAATACCTTCCACTACTCCGACAAGGTGGAATCGGGGCAATTCGCTTTCGTTGCTGCGGAGGCGGGTGATTTCATGACCTGCTTTTGGGCTCCCGATCACCAGCCTCAGGTCACATTGTCTGTGGATTTCGATTGGAGGACGGGTGTGGCTGCCAAGGATTGGTCCAATGTTGCTAAGAAAGGTTCTGTCGATGTAAGTTTTCGCATCTCTATGACAAATGTTGATTGAACTTCGTTCTGTTTGATTGCTTGATTGTTTACGAGGATTTTGATTGGCGCGTTTACCCGAATTTTGAATTCTTTGTCTAGATCTTTCTCCGGATTGGAGGAATTTACCATTCCTTGCTTGTTTTAGTTGTATCTCCTTCCTTTAGGCTCTCCTTTCAATTGAACGACCTAAAGTTCCTTTCAAGTTGCAAACTCCAGGCCATCGTTGACTGCGTTCAGCCTCAGAGTTTTTGTCATCTTTCTAATTATATTTCCAGAAGTGATCGAATTATGTTTCTTTTGTGGAATTTGCATATATTCAAGAACAGTTGAAGCACTGATGTAGGGAATTCCAGCTATTCAACTGTAGGAGCAATTGCACAACATACACAACAAAATCACAAATCATCGTTCAATGTGTGCTAGGATTCTTTAACTGTAGGAGCAAAAATAAAGCAAAAAGCCTAGTGTAGATCTGCTGTTTTTCATAAATTACAGTTAGAACCAAGCTTAGGACACACAGTCTAGGAAGAAAATTACTTTCTTAGTTCTCCTCCAAGAAAAATTGAAAATTTCTTTTCCCAAAAAAATTCTTTTTTCTCTCTATTAACATCTCTAATGAGGTGTGTCCAATTTAGAAGCAGGCGTGGATTTTAATTTTTCTCTTTTAAGATCGTCCTTTCTACCATCATGTAAATCTAGTTGTCTCGTCCGTAGCTTCTTTCATTTTGATGTCTTTGGAACCCGAGACGGTAAAAGAGGTAGGGAATAGTTCATTGGAGATTAGAAACCTGTCCATCTAGGCACCGGTCTCTCCAACATAATGTTTAAGGCTTTATTTTCCACCCTTGGGATTGTTGACGCCTCGAAAAGAGGTTTGGGCTTAGCAACATTTGACTGGGATTGTGGTCATATCTAAATTTCCTCTCTTTGGTCCAAGAAAATCCACAATTCTCCCTCCCATGGATGCTTGTGATCATCTTACTATGAAGATTCTTTTTTTGATTTCCTTCGGATCTCCGAGGTCATTTTGCTAACAAGATTTATTTCGGGATGTCTTATCCTCCGCTTTCCAAGATAATAGGAAAGATCTTTAAATTAATATGATGGCTAAATTTTTTCTTTCCCTTTTTCCACTCAAGGTGTGCACTTTTTTCGCTAAATATAAGGCCACTTTTCTTCATAGTTTTAAAGAAGGCATATTTTGAAAGAAAAAGTTGTAGCAGAGAGCATGAGACATCCTCCCAAACAATGTTTTCACTCGCCAAGTTTTCTCAGCATTCTTCCTTCTAATGCTGCCAGCAATCTCATTTTCAGATTCTCTCTTAGGAATGAATGCTTCTCTGAACCAATTTTAACGTTCACTTGACAAGGACGTTCAGCGCCATTATTGTTGCTATTAGAGTTCTACATTATTTATAGAAGATTTATGGGTTGTGCCTATATTCACATGACATAAGTGGAGTTGGGTTCAAAATTCTTGAGTGAATAGTGCCATACCAATCTAGAGACATGGGTTGTAACGGCCCAAGCTCACCGCTAGCAGATATTGTCCTCTTTGGGCTTTCCCTCAAGATTTTTAAAACGCATCTGCTAGAGAGAGGTTTCCACACCCTTATAAAGAATGCTTCGTTCTCATCTCCAACCGATGTGGAAACTCACAATCCACCCCCTTCGGGGCTCAGTCTCCTTGCTGGCACATTGTCCGATGTCTGGCTCTGATACCATTTGTAACGGCCTAAGCTCACCGCTAGCAGATATTGTTCTCTTTGGGCTTTCTCTCAAGGTTTTTAAAACGCATCTGCTAGAGAGAGGTTTCCATACCTTTATAAAGAATGCTTCGTTCTCCTTTCCAACCGATCCGGGATCTCACATGAGTCCTAAGAAGTGTCATCAAGCTTGTGGTCTAGACTGGACTATTTGAATGAATGTCTCCCACTATTGGTGCAGAGTTCTTTTGTGGCATGACATCTGATTTGGTGTAGGAAATTTCTTTCCCCCCTGTTCTAATTTGCTTATCTGTTAACTTTTTAAATTGGTCCATTCATACACCAACTCTAACTCTAGTAATGTCTTATGTTGGTGAAGTACTCTGCTATTAGCGTCATTAGACCAAATAACACTTGGAAACAGAAAACAATCTATAGAAGTTCGAATTATGTTGGCCGAAGATTTGGTGAGGGTATTTCGCTTCAACTAGGTACTAACAAATTCAGAAATCTTAATGCAGTACCCCACGTAGAAAATTACCATTTGAATTGGGTCGGGTGATTTTTTGGAGATGTTGAATTGAAATACCCTCACCAAAAATAAAGTCGGGAGGAACTGAATTATGATGGCCAACTAATTTCTTGACTTTTTCCATAATTTTGCTTCAACGACATCAAAATTGTGTCGAATCTCTGCAATTATCAAGTTTTGGACTCACTGGAACACACACAAGCTTACTATTTATCAAGTTTTGAACTCACTGGAACACAAACTCACTTGGGACTCGATGAATGCTGCTTGTTTTTTTCAATTCTAATAAATGGCTGAGTTGTTTTCCCAATCTCATTTGGTTATGTCATTAATGATTCTCTTACAATGCCAGGCCATGGAATTAGAGCTTCAGAAGTTGTTTGACACAGCCAATTCTATTCAAGAAGAGATGAATTATCTCCGTGAAAGGTAGAACAGAATCATGCGTTCTACTTCTTTGCCCCCACTCCATTCCCCCATTTAGGAATTGAGATTACTTGTTCTCACTTGTTCTCAACCATGTTCGATACAAGTCTTTTTGCTGACCCCAGCCCCCGTTACTCATGGACGTCCTCGTTAATGGTCTGAAACCGTGAACAATCTGTGATTGCAGGGAGGACGAGATGCAAGATCTGAACAGAAGTACAAACACAAAGATGGCATGGTTGAGTTTGCTTTCGCTTTTTGTTTGCTTATCAGTGGCAGGATTGCAACTATGGCATTTGAAGACCTTTTTCGAGAAAAAGAAGCTCATTTAAATTATTCAAACTCTTAAGTCTCTTCGCAATCATAACAGAATCCGCCTTCTTCAGTGTAGATTAATTAGTTATTGGTTTGCATTGTGAGATAAGATCAGCTTTCTATTTTTCGGTGTAAGAACACAATAGCCTCTCCTTTAATCAGCTTAACAATTCAGTCTTTTACTGCCAGTAATTTTACAAATTTCAGTTTCTTTTCCATCTTGTATGAATTTTTGCTTATATTTTTTAAAGTGTACTTTGAAAAAGTCATTTTACCTTGGTGAATGAGTAAGAACTTAATATGGAATAGAGATGGTAACATTCAACTGATCAGAGGATGAAAAAGAGTCTCTCTTAATAAGATAATTTTATGTCTTTTAGTTTTGGAATCCCAAAATATTCAAAATGATTGATGTTTCATTTAAAAATTTAACATATCATATCAGAGTAGTTAGACATCAAAATATTATGAGAATTGTGAATTCACAAGATAATCACATGTGACTCGATTTTTATAAATGAATTATCTTAGAGGCTTACAATTATGCTTTATTGAACATTAATGAAACTGAAATCTCATACATTAGAATAAATCATCAAATTGTCTCATACTAAGTGTAACCAAATTAACATTAACCAATCTAGATCATTAAAAAATGCTTGGGGGTTCGTATCAACATATCAGGTCAATTCAACTATTTCGTACTCGAAGTTGACTAATCCTAGAATAATTCAGGGTATGATGCCCACATTTCCTCTTCTCTATTCCAAGTCACTTCTTAGGTTTGATTGTTCTTCCACAAAACCGGATTGGGTGATCTCGTTGTTGCTAGAGGTTTTCACTTTGCTTGAGAGAATATTGATGGGTTGTTCCTCATGGCTCAAATCCTCGCTTAAGGAAAAAGTTTCATAATCTATCACATGTGACAAGTCTCGTGTGCACTTGCGCAAATTAACACATGAAATACATTATGCACAACAATATGTCTATGTCTTTTGGATTGACAAATGCTCCCAGATGAACAGAGTATTCAGAAACTTCCTTGTCATGATCGTGATAGTAATCATCAACAACATCATGGTTTATTCTAGATCTAGTAAAGAACATGAGGGTCATCTAAGCGGAGTACTGACCACCTAAGCCACGTGGTGTCAATGGAAGGAAAAATAGTGGATCCAACCAAGGTTGAGGTAGTGATGGAATGACCTCGTCCGACTACAACGACTGAGGAACAAAGTTTTTTGAGATTAATAGGTTACTACCATCGTTTTATATAAAGGATTTTTCCAAGATTGCAGCGCTCTAACTAAACTGACCAAAAAAGAACAATGGTTCATATGGAACCCAGCTTGTGAGACAAGTTTCTTAGAACTAAAAAAGAGATTGGTGACGACGTCAGTGCTCACTATGCTCGACGACATCGAAAACTTCGTAGTCTACAATCATGTATCAGGGAAGGGACTAAGTTGCCTATCGATGCAAAATGGGAGGATGGTTGCCTACGCCTCTCAACAGTTAAAGGAATATGAGAAGAATTACCCGACTCACAATCTGAAGTTGGTAGTGGCGGTTTTTTGCTTTGAAGATTTGGAGACACTGCTTTTATGGATAAAATATTCAGACCTACATAGACAACAAGAGCCTTAAGTACCTGTTCATACAAAAGGAGCTTAATATGAGGTAGAAGTTTGATCGGTGATATTTTCGTTGATTCTTAACAAAAACTTGTGTTTTTATGTCTTTGGATTCAGCATAACGAGATCTACAACTTTGTAGAAGTAAGTGGATAGTTTCAAGACCTAGAGCACAAGTTACAAAAGGTAAAAGGTGAGCAACTAAACGGTTAGCACACGGGTAACTGAGGTTAAGATGACCGATTTAATTGGACTAGTTGGACGAGTTGATTTGGTCCAACCAATTTGATTCATTTCTCTTATGTTTGGGCTATATTACTCCGATTTGGTTCTCATGATTTTTCTCAATGTAAGATCATTTGAAGGAGTTTGGCAAAATTTAAAATTTTCTAAAGGATGTGAATGCGAACAAATAGTGTCATGTTTTCTAAGTGTCACATCAAAACTTTGGATTTAACTATGCTTATAGTATGTATGCAAGCATGATATGAGAAACTTGTTATAAAAATTTGAGTTTGAACTGAGTTTATTTGATCTATGAAAAGCATGTCAAATTGATATGATGCACGTTTCTTGAGAAATGAGCTACTGGACTTTGATCGAATGGAACTAAAAACATGCCTTGAGTATGATCAAAATCATGTTAGTGGAAACTTTCGAGATTTGAGCATGGAATGAGTTGCTTAAATGTATGTAAGAGCATGTTGAATGTTATTACGTATGTTTCCAAAAAAAATGGACGAATTGAACTGTGGCCAGGTATCCATGTGTAGGGCGCTATGCTATGTCTTCATTGTGTATGCATGTGATTTTTATGTGATTATAAGGGGCAGAGGTTCGTCAGCTAGCCCTTAACTGTAAACCTGACTTGATTGTCAGGGATTCAGATAACTATAAAATTGGTTTATGATGTATGACTCTACCCTAGGGAAATTATTAGAGTTTGCTAGTTAGTTTCCTTTTAATGAACCGGACACGAGCGACAAGGGTCTGCAGTTGTATCTTTAGAGCTGATTAAACTTGAGACTTACGATGATCTATTCATGAATGTGATTTTATGCGGTTATACGATGACGATTAGGGGTTTACCAATTAACCCCCTAATCGTAAGCCTAACTCGATCTTTGGAGGTCCGAATAACTATAGAATTGACTTATAATTTATGATTGTACTTTGGAAAAATTATTAGAGAGTTTTCTAGTTAATTCCCTCCTAATGAACCTTTCTCGAGCGGCAGAGGTCCATTGTAGTACCTTGAGAGTTAGTTGAACTTTAGAATATATGAACCTTATGAGAATTTGTGATTGAGGTCTCACCTTGAGGGTCTATGACATAAGTCTAAAAATATTATGATGAAGAGAGAGACTAGCATAAACGTGTTAGAATCGCTCAACAACGCACACTCGATCAAGATGAACACAAAGAATAGGAGAGAGAAAATTTAAGGAGGAATATTGGCTAAAGGTTTTATTGATGACTTCATGTAGGTACAACGAGAGAGAATATAGAGGACTAAATATAGCTTCCAAAGATTTAAACCTACCACGTATAATCAAACAAATATATCTCTATCAAATCTTTACGTCTATATCCCAACAATCTCCGATTTGGAAACTAATCCAGTCAACCCCAACAATCTCCCACTTGGACACTATCCACTGTAACATACCACTTGAGGCTTTTCACAACCTCAATGTTCCAACATCAACATAAAATGTTTACGGGATTCCTTGCACCTTTTATCTTCTCCAAACACATCACCATCTTTCACTAACCTCCTAGCAAAATGATATCACCTTTTGTGTTTTGTCTTTGAATGATAGACCGGGTTCCTTGCCAACTACATGACACTCTAACTATCTACCTGAAGAATCTTCTCGCGCTGCTTCTTGCCTAATTCTTCTAGATAGTCTGTCATCCATATCATCTCTTTTCCAGCTTTAGCTATTGCAACGTACTCAGCCTCAACAGATGAAAGAGCAACGCATGTCTGAAGCCTAGACATCCCATCATCCATAGCTTGCTCCCACTTGGTTGTATCCTCCAACTATAGGGCCTCATCAAGGGGCTTCCGTTCCCCTTCATCAATTACCAATCGATAGTGTAAAGAAGGTACATACCTATCTGGTACTCTGATGGCTCTGGATGATTTTTTCAACACCTGCTCAGGTGTCACTTGCTCTACTTCTGATTCCTCAACAACAGCCTTAGGAGTTTCTTGAGTATCTACTACAACATCATTAGATGAATCTTTCAGCAACTCAACCTCAACTTTCACTTGCTTCACCTCTAGTTCCTCACAATAGTCTCATGAGTTTTTTGAGTATCCGCTACGACATCATAGGTGAATCTTTCAGCAACTCAACCTCAATTCCCACTTGTTTCATTGTCCCGGTACTTTTCCTTAATTCTCTTGCAGTCTTTGTGAAGCTAACTCTTTTCTGTTTGCTTAGAATGCAGTTCTCACAAAGACTCATATCAACAGATTTCAGACCTTATAAAACTCCTTCCGCAGCCAACATCTTCATTCCTTTAACGCTCATATGTTCAAGTCTATTATGTCATAAACTTGAATTTGAAGCATTCTCAGCAACAGTAGCCATGTGCATACACCCTGCAGTGGTGTATAAGGTTCCAGATTTTGTGCCACGTGCTACCACCATAGCACCCTTCATAATCTTCTACGAACTGTTCCCAAACTTTGTTGCATAACCTGTGCTATCCAACTGACAGATAGAGATCAGGTCATTCTTGAGATGAGAAATATATCTGACATTCTTTAATGTCCCCTGGTTTCCTGTCGAAGTTTTTATGTAGACATCCCCTTTTCCTTCAATCTTAAATCATTATTGTTGGCAAGATAGACCTTCTCGAAACTTCCCAACTTGCAATTTCGAAACAGCTTTTTGTTTGGAGATGAATGAAAAGATGCACCTGAATCCAAAATTCATGATTCAATCGGATTGTCCACGCTAACGATTAGAGCATCCCCAATGTCTTCTGCTGAATGTATAGAATCGTCATCTTCTGATTTGTGATTCTGCTTCCTCTTTGTACAATTTTTCCGAAAATGACCTTTTTCTCCACAACTCCAACATTTTACGTTTGGTTTGTTGGGAGATTTTCGTCAATTCCTTGATTTTGATCGCCCATTGTTTGGGCCCTTTGATTTACTTCTTTCTCTTCTATCAAAAGTGAGAACATTGCCTGATGAATCTCTGATTTCCGGTTTGCGAATACTTTTGCTAAGAACTACCTCTCTAATTTCATTGAACTTTAGTTTATAAAATCCTCGTGAACTGCTGATCGCGGCAACAACAGTATCCCGCTACTCGGGTAAAGATGACATCAAAATCAATGCCTTAATTTCATCTTTGAAATTAATATCCACCAAACTCAGTTGACTTGTAATCATATTGAATTCGTTTATATGACCAGCAACAGATCCACCTTCAGACATTTGTAGATTAAACAGCCTCTGCATCAAATACACCTTGTTCATGGCCGACGGTTTCTCGTACATATTCGACAATGCCCTCAACAAATCTAATGCTGACTTCTCCTTGATAATATTGAATGCCATGTTTTTGG